GTTGGGAACTAGGCAAAAAACAATTCCTTAATTTTATCTTGTGCAATTCACTGTGCTTTTTCTTATCAATAGCAACAATTGTGGTTGTAGCATTGACTGAAATCTTCCTGTGGGACTGGCAATCTACTTCACTTCTTTTGGTGCCTATGATGTGCATTCTCTTGCTAATTGCTGCAGCAGAGTTCGTATTTGGGGTGGCTATGGTTACCGATACAAGCGTTGCAAATGTATTTCCACTTCGAGCTTTGATTTTGGTTGTAATCCTACTTAACATAATATGGCAGATTGCTTGGATCTGCCAATGTATCCTGAAAAGGTTACGGAGGTGAATAGAGCCATTTACTGAACATAACCATTACGTTCATATTATCCATGTTTTTTCTAGCTCTAGTTTTTGTGTTTCTGGATGCTAATTGTATCTAAATGTTCTTTGCAGATTACGCCGCAACGAAGAGGGGAGTGGAGCATGAACGAATTGAATCAGAAAAGCAATGCTAATGATGTCCTGCATGACGAGATCTGATTGAATGTTAATGTTCAGGATTAAGAACTTGATTTTCTTGTAACACCAATTTGATTTTGAATGACAAGCTACTTTACATGTCTGAGGCATGTCTTGTTTTGCTTTGAAAAAGAAACGAAAGCATGGAAGACTAGTTTGGTTTTTGCTGGTAGGTTATCATCATTTTAACGGTGCAGGATATCTATGGTTGGATCAAGGCTTGCAGTTGATAGAGATGAGTGAGGAAGAACGCTTCTAATCCTAGTTTAAAAGAAACAAAATGAAAACTAAGCACATAATCCAAAAGGAAAAAATTCAACTCATAACTGTAGCCACCTCCGAATGCCAAAACCCCCTGATTTACCCTTGAATAATAGTTTCATTGATGGGCTTACAGGCGCTGGATTAAATAGACGGATAAATTTCCTAGATGAAACCATCTGAGGATCTTCTTTATTGGTTTTTCCTTCTTCTGAGAGGACCAACAATGGCACCATCATTTTAAATAGAAGATGATTTTGAATCGAATATGTGATGCATCCATAAGATGTCCAATTTCTGCATCCTGACAAGGAGGTGGAAATTTCTCGCTCTTGCTTTAGCCTTGGCTCGTGCCATGGCTCTCCATGTATGGATAGTATCAAACAAATGAGAGTTTCAAGTAAAACTATGCTTTGAAAAACCAAGAAGAGAGCAGAGAACGTATGGCATCTGCAGATCATGAAGTGAAGGACCTAACCAGTTGACAATTCTGACGAGTTGATTTGACAACTGTTGACCTAAGATACCTAAGCCAAAGTGGATTTCACCATTTAACAAGGTCCTGTGGCCAGCCACAGTTTTCGAATGATAAGGAAAAAGTGGTAAACTAAACGAGATCAAGAACGGGTATCACAGAAGAATTCTCAAATTTAGAGTTACCCGACAAGTCTACAGAGATACGGCTTAGTATATATACCTAGGTATTATATATATAAAAGAGTATATATACCTAGTAAGCACTCATCAAGAAAGCAATGACACATAATGAAAATGAGACAAATAAAAATGGATGGATTCAGGGGTGGCTGGGTTTCTGCTATCTAATATATAAGATTCTAGTTAATGTAGGAATCCTTTATCAAAAACGTGATTTGTGTTAGACTAATTTATTAGAATCATTGTTTAATTAGATAGTTAGATTCCTAGTTAGATTATAATAATTAGAGGTGTAATCTCCCTATAAATATAAGGAACAACGTAATCAAAAGAGAAAGTTGTGTTTTTAAGTGTATTGATAAAAGTGATTAATCAATAAAGCTTGGAAGGTTCATCCAAATACTTGCAGAACTTGGATTTAGTGTTTTCAACCATTGATATCAGAACTTAATAAGCTTGGTGTTTTTTTAACCATTAGAGAGAAAAGCAAGCTTGGTGTCCTTTTCTTTTAACAATTGGAGAGAAAAACGCAGTAGTCTTCTTCTCCCTTCGAAGATCGAAAACTGTAGGAATGCACAAGAAGAAGAATTTCACACGAGAAAGGGTTATATATTAAAACCAAAGGATAATATCACAGTGTTAAACAACCAAATTGGTTAGCCTGAAATATCAACAAGGAATTTTATTTTTGAATTAAATCTTCAACACGCCCCTCCAACCGAATGGGCAGTTCTTGAACACGAAGGTTGTCCTGCCATAGCTGAAAACAAATGGTTGACAGTGGCTTAGTTAATAAATCTGCGAGCTAATCCCTACTAGATAGAAAAGAGACTTGAAGTTTTTTTTGCTAAAACTTGATCCCTAACAAAGTGAAAATCAATTTCAACATGTTTAGTCCAGCTTGAAAAATCAGATTAGAGGACAAGTAAGAAGCTCCAATGTTATCACTCCATAGTTTTGGACTGGTTACAAAGGGAAGCTATAGATCATGGAAAACGGATTGGAGCCAATGTATTTCAGCTGCTGTGTTTAAGAGGGATTTATATTTTGATTCATTTTTTGTATCAACGGTTTGTTGTTGTTTACAGCTCCAACTGATCATATTGGTTCCATGACAGATATAATAGGCCCCAATACTATGTCTATCATCTCTATCACCAGCCTAGTCAGCATCATTAAACCTTTGAAAAGAGTGATCTGATATACTTCTGAAACAAATGCCATAGCTTGTTATGGATGCGTTTGACAACTTGCCAATAATTTTCCACGGGTTGATGCATGGATTTGATGCATGGATTTGCTAACACAGTAAACCCTCAAAAGAATACGAAGGAGACATATTTTACGAACAACTTAAAAGAATATACAACTTATTTAATATACTTAATTAAGGGTCTATTTCATAACTTTATATATTTTTGAATTAACTAGTTATTTTTTCTAAAAAAACCAACATTAAATGGTTTTCCCGAAATCCAATCTATAATAAAGCAAATAGTAAAATTTTTAATAATTTACTAAATAATACTTAATTATTCATCAAACCAATTTGAAAGGGCTAATATTACATTTAGGGACCAATCTGAATTTTATCATATTTTTAAGGGTCAAATTGTAACTTTGTCAAATTAGAGGACCAAAATAAAATTGTTATAATGCCATGACTATACTGAAATTCTAACCATGATTAATCCTCAATTCTGTCCAGAATATCTCATTATGCTCCAGGGACCATTCTGGAATTTTACCAAATTTTTAGGGTCAAATGATAATTTTTGTCAAATTGAAGGACCATTGAAGGACCAAATTGAAAGTGCTAAAAATTCATAACTATACTGGAATTTTACCCATAATTCATATTTTATTCTGTTTAGAATCTTGGAATATGCTCCAGGGATCATTCTGTAATTTTTCTAAAATTTGGAGACTAAACTACAATTTTCATAAATTGAGGGACCAAACCGAAATTTTATCATCTTCAACCTCCAACCCAGAATTTTAATAAAAAACCTACTGTCAGATTTCTAACTTAAAATTCATCATTTACATAAATCATAACTTAAAATAATCATCTTTATCTATAATTTCTCAAAATCAACTACCAATCTTTTACTCACAATAATTAACTCTATAACATTCAAATTAATTTATCAATAAACTTAATAAAAAAATTTCAAAACCCTAACATTCAATTAAAAAGAAATTTAAAACTTAAAGAACACATATTTATACATAATTTTACATTTAAACTTATTTTTTCTAATTTTCTTCTATTAATTTCCTTGTTTTTCCCTTTTTTCTCTTCTTCTTTTTTTTCTTTTTCTTTTTCTTTTCTTTTTCAGTCAGTTTTTAACTTTTAATTTCAGATCTTTTTCTTTTTTTTTTATTTATACTTATTATGTTTATTCAATTACTATATTATTTTTTATTCATTTATATCCTCTCTTTAATTCCCCGGAACTTTATTATCTTTTCTTTTATCTCTTTGATTCAAAACGTCACATCAATCTACCTAATACTTAATTGCCGTGCGATGGCTAAAGATGGTAATAATCATATAAATGGTTCATGTCTTAACCATGAGACTAAAGGTTTTTGTGTATCCACACCATGTGATGATCATATCCATTTGTTGCCTACCAGATTATAACTAGGCTTAGGAGGTACAAGATCCCATTTATTATTTCTTACAAGAGCATTAGATTCAATGTCCATGGTTGTATGCCATTGGAGATGTTTAAAATTTTCAGAGAAACAAGTATGTTCTATGATAAAAGAGACATGCTTAGCTAGCAAACTCTGAGGCAACGGATAGCAAGCGATACCAACATATAGAACTTCTAGTTTGAGAGACTGTTTGAGATTAAGTGATCGATCATGTGGTGTTGTCGGGGCTTATTTGGAGAGACATGTTAAAGACCAGGGAACATGGAGGAGCATATGGTTGAGAAATTGCGGTAGCTGTAGTTGAAGATGGATATTTTCTCGTGTTCAAGATATAAATTGCCATTCCAGTTCACTATTCGGATCATGAATGCTTGCAACCTTCTTTTTTCCCCGTGGATGATAGAACTGCACTTAGAATCAGTACATTCCAAAGCCAAATCATCACATGGCGCACTGAAAGGATGGCATGCAGGGAAATCCTCTGCCGTCTCCACTTGAGCGAGGGGTAGAGGATGGATGACATACTTGTAACTGCCCCCTTGCTTGATAATGGTTCTTCCCAAGAGCGCAGTAGGGATGAGCATCAAAGCCACATTCTCAACACCGGTAGAACCAAAATTTCTGGTTTGTTTTTCCTCCGCAAATTTGACAAACAAATTGGTATGAATTGGGATCAACGTAGACGAGGAAGAGAGGATGTTTTCACCATCCTTGTGCCATATTTTAATTGTTATCATAAAGCCTCAATTTATTTATATTTATGGTTTTCATTTTCACGCATGGGAGGCCGCGAGGTCTTGCTTGCAAGGCCCAGGCGCTTAGGAATTATTTTTGGAAGAATATGCTGTTAAAACACCAAGTTTCCAATAAAAAAATGCCTAGACATTATCATCCTGCAAATCTGATACCAACTAAAAAAAAAAACAACATTTTGATATACTTGAGTATGGCATGGTTGAGTGTGGATCCATGTAAAACCCTCTCAAAAGTTGCAAAGCCAAGAGGCTCTTCTCATGCTCTTAAGAAAAACAGGTACAAAACCGCTTGGATTTATTGATACATGAATCAAGATCTAAATAACGAAAACAAATAAAATTGGAGAGCACATGATAAATCCCATCAATTCAAATATCCCACACATTGTATTCAAGAACTTTGCTCGACGAACAACATGCAGAGGCCACTACTTCACAATTATTGAGATTGTATTAAGAGAAAATTAAGTAGCATAATTCTTTGATCCAAGTTACTTCTTAACGCTAATAACTACAAACCTGGATACATTCTCAATGAAAAATCAAAAAACATGAGTGCTGATTTCTTCGCTTTCGCTTTGTCTCGGATCTTGTATTGCCTAGTTTGCTCTGAGCTTGTTATGGATGCGTTTGACAACTTGTAAATGATTTTCCATGGGTTGATGCATGGATTTGCTAACACAGTAGACCTCTTGAAAGAATACGAAGGAGATATATTTAATAACAACTTAAAAAAATATAACTTATTTAATACACTTAATTAAAGGTTTATTCTATAATCTTATATATTTTTGAACTAACTAATTATTTTTTCTAAAAAACCAATATTAAATGGTTTTCTTGAAATCCAATCCATAATAAAGTAAATAATAAAATTTTTAATAATTTACTAAATAATACTTAATTATTCATCAAACCAATTTGAAAAGGTTAATATTACATTTAGGGACCAATCTGAATTTTGTCATATTTTTAAGGGTCAAATTATAACTTTATCAAATTAGAGGACCAAACTAAAATTGTTATAATGCCATGACTATACTGAAATTCTGACCATGATTAATCCTCAATTTTGTCCAGAATATCTCATTATGCTCCAGGGACCATTCTGGAATTTTACCAAATTTTTAGGGTCAAATGATGATTTTTGTCAAATTGAAGGACCAAATTGAAAGTGCTAAAAATTCATAACTATACTGGAATTTTACCCATAATTCATATTTTATTCTGTTTAGAATCTTGGAATATGCTCCAGGGATCATTCTGTAATTTTTCTAAAATTTGGAGACTAAACTACAATTTTCATAAATTGAGGGACCAAACCGAAATTTTATCATCTTCAACCTCCAACCCAGAATTTTAATAAAAAACCTACTGTCAGATTTCTAACTTAAAATTCATCATTTACATAAATCATAACTTAAAATAATCATCTTTATCTATAATTTCTCAAAATCAACTACCAATCTTTTACTCACAATAATTAACTCTATAACATTCAAATTAATTTATCAATAAACTTAATAAAAAAATTTCAAAACCCTAACATTCAATTAAAAAGAAATTTAAAACTTAAAGAACACATATTTATACATAATTTTACATTTAAACTTATTTTTTCTAATTTTCTTCTATTAATTTCCTTGTTTTTCCCTTTTTTCTCTTCTTCTTTTTTTTCTTTTTCTTTTTCTTTTCTTTTTCAGTCAGTTTTTAACTTTTAATTTCAGATCTTTTTCTTTTTTTTTTATTTATACTTATTATGTTTATTCAATTACTATATTATTTTTTATTCATTTATATCCTCTCTTTAATTCCCCGGAACTTTATTATCTTTTCTTTTATCTCTTTGATTCAAAACGTCACATCAATCTACCTAATACTTAATTGCCGTGCGATGGCTAAAGATGGTAATAATCATATAAATGGTTCATGTCTTAACCATGAGACTAAAGGTTTTTGTGTATCCACACCATGTGATGATCATATCCATTTGTTGCCTACCAGATTATAACTAGGCTTAGGAGGTACAAGATCCCATTTATTATTTCTTACAAGAGCATTAGATTCAATGTCCATGGTTGTATGCCATTGGAGATGTTTAAAATTTTCAGAGAAACAAGTATGTTCTATGATAAAAGAGACATGCTTAGCTAGCAAACTCTGAGGCAACGGATAGCAAGCGATACCAACATATAGAACTTCTAGTTTGAGAGACTGTTTGAGATTAAGTGATCGATCATGTGGTGTTGTCGGGGCTTATTTGGAGAGACATGTTAAAGACCAGGGAACATGGAGGAGCATATGGTTGAGAAATTGCGGTAGCTGTAGTTGAAGATGGATATTTTCTCGTGTTCAAGATATAAATTGCCATTCCAGTTCACTATTCGGATCATGAATGCTTGCAACCTTCTTTTTTCCCCGTGGATGATAGAACTGCACTTAGAATCAGTACATTCCAAAGCCAAATCATCACATGGCGCACTGAAAGGATGGCATGCAGGGAAATCCTCTGCCGTCTCCACTTGAGCGAGGGGTAGAGGATGGATGACATACTTGTAACTGCCCCCTTGCTTGATAATGGTTCTTCCCAAGAGCGCAGTAGGGATGAGCATCAAAGCCACATTCTCAACACCGGTAGAACCAAAATTTCTGGTTTGTTTTTCCTCCGCAAATTTGACAAACAAATTGGTATGAATTGGGATCAACGTAGACGAGGAAGAGAGGATGTTTTCACCATCCTTGTGCCATATTTTAATTGTTATCATAAAGCCTCAATTTATTTATATTTATGGTTTTCATTTTCACGCATGGGAGGCCGCGAGGTCTTGCTTGCAAGGCCCAGGCGCTTAGGAATTATTTTTGGAAGAATATGCTGTTAAAACACCAAGTTTCCAATAAAAAAATGCCTAGACATTATCATCCTGCAAATCTGATAGCAACTAAAAAAAAAAAAACATTTTGATATACTCGAGTATGGCATGGTTGAGTGTGGATCCGTGCAAAACCCTCTCAAAAGTTGCAAAGCCAAGAGGCTCTTCTCATGCTCTTAAGAAAAACAGGTACAAAACCGCTTGGATTTATTGATACATGAATCAAGATCTAAATAACGAAAACAAATAAAATTGGAGAGCACATGATAAATCCCATCAATTCAAATATCCCACACATTGTATTCAAGAACTTTGCTCGACGAACAACATGCAGAGGCCACTACTTACAATTATTGAGATTGTATTAAGAGAAAATTAAGTAGCATAATTCTTTGATCCAAGTTACTTCTTAACGCTAATAACTACAAACCTGGATACATTCTCAATGAAAAATCAAAAACATGAGTGCTGATTTCTTCGCTTTCGCTTTGTCTCGGATCTTGTATTGCCTAGTTTGCTCTGCTCTTTAAGAACACAAACACCCCCTTTGCATACGCTTCTCTGGCTTTTAGACACATCACCAAAGCATCTGAATATATTTGAGAAAAGTGTCATGGCAGTCTTATAAATGGTTGTTAATCGTATGAAGATGATTATGCTCATGTTTTCCGAAGCATTATATCTTTAATAAAAGGGAAGGAGGGTATTTTAGTATGTCCCGCGAGGAAATGCGGGTCAATTATGACCATGTAGATTTTGCCTCGAAAATTCGTGGTTTGCAGCGTGACTGGTCTCCCTAGAGATTGTAATTATTCAAATACTTAAAGCAACACGTGGACATATGAACCAGAGTTCCCACGGGAAAAAAAGTGGCTTTAGACCGTGTCTGGTCGTAAAGGGCTGCCTCCCTGCTAGTAGGAAATGAACATAATTCTTTGGTCTCCAGTTTTTGTCAAAATTATTAAAACCGACTACAAATATGACGGATGACCTGATTAAATATTCAGGTTGGTTACAGTTTAAATGAATTAATTTAGGCTTATCCAATAAATTTAAAACATTATTATTTTATTTTAAAAAATCAAAACAAATTTGTTTTGAAAATTTTATTTAACAACGTTGTTCTCAGAGAGAGAGAGAGAGAGAGAGAGACGAAAGGAAATGTTACATCGAATGCTAGAAAATGCCTGAAATCAACTTTGCCGACATGGTTCAGCGGAAATCGATAATTAAGGTCCTGAGGGAGTGTCTATTCTGAGGTCTTGAAGGCCCATAAGTAAAGATCAAAGGGCTTCTCTGTTTCTTTCTTTTTTGTGAAATAGAGGTAGGTTTTGTGATTCCATGTTTTCCCCGTTGTATTTTGTATGGTAACTGTAGAAAGAGCTAGAGTGTAACCATTCTCAATTTAACAATAATACTCTAGTTTTTAAATATTTATACCTCTTTGCCAGAATGATACTAGTAACTAGGTTTCCATGATTAATAAACTTGGACTTTCATCAAGAAAACATTGTTCTTGTTTGAAATCAACTTTGCCGACATGGTTCAGCCGAAATCGATAATTAAGGTCCAGAGGGAGTGTTTATTTTGAGGTCTTGAAGGCCCTTAACTAAAGATCAAAGGGCTTCTTTGTTTCTTTCTTTTTTGTGAAATGGAGGTAGGTTTTCTGATTCCAGGTTTTCCCCGTTGTATTTTGTATGGTAACTGTAGAAAGAGCTAGACTGTGTAACCATTCTATTTAACAATAATACTCTAGTTTTTAAATATTTATACCTCTTTGCCAGAATGATACTAGTAACTAGGTTTCCATGATTAATAAACTTTGCTTGCCACCCCTTGATTCCGCCTCTAACCATTCTATTTAACAATAATACTCTTGTTTGTAAATAAAAAAAATAGTAAAACTAGTAGATCTAGAAAAAAAATAACATAAACATTGTTCTTGTTTTTCTTCTTTCGGGGCATATAAATCCGGTGATGAGGAGGAGTACGTAGGTGGTCTAGGAAAGCCGTAAAGGCTAACGTTAAAAAATATGTAGTTTTGCATCTTCATTTGTTGTTGCTTTGTAATTAATGACATTGTTCTTGTTTTTCTTCTTTCGGGGCGTATAAATCCGGTGATGAGGAGTCAGTAGGAGTATTTTTTTTGTTAGGATTCTAGAGAAAATAGTAAAAAAATAATTAAATTGAAAAGTTTTTTTTTAATAACTTGGACAAAAAAATAATTTTATATTTAAAAATAATTAATAAAATAATATTTAAATACTGAATAAAAAAATATAAAATATTTTCTAAGGGTGTTTTCCAGGGGCCGGAGCCGTCACGCCTTGGTGATGAGAACCAAGAATTTTCATGTTGTTGTCAAATTCAATTCAAAATTACAAACAGAAGTTGACAGAATTAGGATGTATGTCAACTAAGGAGTTCTGAGTTCTGGTCTTAGAATTGTTTTTATGAGTGTTGGAATTTTTATTTTTTTTTAATTAAAAGTCTAGTTAGGTGAGGATGTGAGGCTATAAATAGCCTTGAAAGTTCATTATAAGAATATATATATATCAAACACCTTTCAGAGACTTTTCTCAATTAATTTTTTTATTAGTGTTAGATGGAAATACTCAATTAATTTCTTAAATGATATATTTAAACAAAAATTAAAATTTATATGCTCAATTAAGAAAAAAATGTAAAATATTGTAATTATCTCCGTATGAAATACGAAACGCCGACAACAAACTCTTTTCAAATTGATTCATTTCTTAACGCATACAAGGAAAAGAAAAGAAAAAACAATAGAAAACGCGGAAAGGAATGCATCCCTGTTTATGGCCCAGTTGAAATATTGCCTCAACTATAAGATTTGTTTTTTGACCGATACATTTAGATATTTTCTCTCTTTGATTGGTTGTTACTTCAATTATGTGCTAGCTATAGACAGTAGCTAGGGTCGATGGTTTCGTTTTCTTAGACAGATATTACTAATCACAGAAAAATGGTTCATTTTGTTTTGCTTGCTCAAAAGGATATTACAGATATTACTAATCACAGATATTACTAAGAAAAATGGTTCATTTTGTTTTGCTTGCTTTTATACAGTATTTTTCTAATTTTAGTATCAATGACCAGATGGGGTTGTGGTGATGTGGATTCTTTCTAAGCCACTGTTTCTTCAGATTAATTTCAATAAATACTTTGCTTTAGGGTTTAGACAGATCTGCATGCTTTTCCTCTAAATGGTGGTGAATTAGCAGGCCCGTGTTAACTAGACAGCCGTGCACTTGGTTCAGCTGAGCTGTAAAAATATTCACAAGAAGCAATACAATGGTAGAGTATCTTGCTATCTTTTTCGTCTATGGAGTAAGCAATTAGCTAAATCACATAAATATATTTTTTTTTTCTCTTTTATGTTTTCTCAATCTTTGTAGCGTTGTACTGTACGATAAATTTGTCTAAGATCTTAAACAAATTCCTAGCAAAGTAGAATCAAGGCTTTGATTTGCACTAACCCTTCATCTATCATTACACGTGAAAATGATAACAAAAACTTAATTAAAGAAGATAGTGAAAAAAAATCTAATTGAAGAAGAAGAAAAATGATCTATCTATCTCTCTCTCTGTCATGGATTGCAGGTCTCAAATCTCTACACTTTATCACCTCTCTCTTCCTCTTTCCTTATCACCTTTGTTAAAGCCATTCGATATACTATAAGTTCTCACCAGCAAAGTTGCCTAAATGGTGGTGGTTTGGGTAGAAGATCCATGGTGGTTTATATGGTTGTAAGTATTTTGTGGTACGACAGTAGTTGAAAGTTTGCAGCAGATTGAATCTACTACCGTGGCAGGTTTGCTATATTGCAATATAATTAAATCTTTAACTCATAAAGTTTAAATGTTATTAGTTCTATGTGTATTACTTGGAATTATTAATCTTATAACGGTTAAAAAGGGAAAATAGTTAAAGAAGAAAATGGATGGATCTTAACCATAGTTATTATAGGTAGAATAGTTCACTAGGTGACCCGGAGCCTTGTACGGTCTAGGTTTTTTTTTTCAAATTATTTAGACGTTAACCTAATTAAACCCGTGATCCGATTGACTCTAACAATTCTTGACAAGACTTTTCCGAGATAATTTCAAAGATTTTTTTTTGTGTGTGTGCTGGAGAGATATGTTGGATAGCATGGGAATGTGGAGGAGCAAATGGTTGAGAAATGACAGCAGCAGTAGTTGAAGATGGAGTGGAAAAAAAGTTTGGTTTAGGAGGAACTTGGGAAGAGGACTCTTGTTGGCATGGAAACAAAGATTTATAAAAAATAACATGAAGGGAGACATAAATTTTTCCTGTGCTAAATCAATACATTTAAATCGTGGTGAGATAAACTGTAACCAAGTAAGATGCAAGTTTTGGACCAAAAATCAATTTTATGCTTATTATGAACGTGCAAGTTTGGCCATCTCTGCTGGTACTGTAACAGCCTACTACGTACGTATACGATCTCCCAAATCTCTATTATAAAATCACAAGAGCATAGTTAATTGGGCGTACAAGATGGACTCTAAGAGATCAAGGCATATACGTACGACAACACTTAATTCTCCTTAATCTAAATAGTTGAACATACTGGACTCAAAGAATTCATCAATTGCTTCCGTTTTACTTGTATATTGTTATGATTAACTAGTTCTTGATACTGTTAAATAATTTATTCAATATTTCGTGAGTAACTACAAGTATGATATAAAAAGAAGAAAGAGTGGTAAAGATGCTTGAAGGACGTAGTATTTCTTATGACTCCAAATTTTTCTCGTTGCTTGTTGCTACTCTATTTAACATTGTTATTGTTTTTCTTCTTCAGGACATAAAAGGGATAAGGAGTAGGAGGTCTATGAAAACCATAAAGACTATGGTCAAAAATATGTAGTTTTCCATCTCCGTTTGCTCTTCCATTGGCATGATCACTACTTGGAGCTGTCACTGTACTGTTTTCCTCTGCTGTTGGAGATGCATGAAATCTGGGAACATAGGGTGGAAGTCTATCATGACTAGATAATGGAGCTGCCACCTTGATGTTTTGTTCTGTGGTTCGAGATGAGTTGCTAGTTAGAGATGCCGTTCTACCACTACGAGGTGCCACCGTGATGTTTTCTTCCGTGGGCAGAGTTGAATCGTCATTAAACATGGAGAAGCTGGAAGGAGGTTCATCATTTTTACTTGAAGCCGCTACCATGATGTTTTCCTCCATTAGCGAAGATGAACCGCCTTTTAAAGTGGGAAAATAAGGAGGAGACCTCTCGTAAGTATGAGGAAAAAGGGTTGTGCTTTGGGGTTTGTCATCATGTCGGTTTGCTAAACCACTTGTTGGCGCCCGTCTTTCATGTTTCTCAGACTTATTAAGGCTTCTATCAGAATACTTGTCAGAACCTTCTTCATTTATTTTAACAGCTTCGTCAAATTCCTTCAAAACAAAGTCAATGTCAGCCCTGAGCTTATTCATTCTTGTATCTATCAGAAGTTGCTGATCCTCAAGACGGGATAATTTCTTGTCTTTATAAGCTATCTTCTCACTAAGTTGCGGGTTTTGCTGGCTTTTAAGGCGAGAGATTTCCTCGTCTTTAAGAGCCAACAACTTGCCAAGGGCTGATATCTGGATATCTTTTTCAATTACCTTCCCGATTAGACTCGCAATATCAGACTTAAGCCCATCACACTTTTCACATTGAGCAGACTGTAGGAACAATATAATTGTAATAGATTCCAAATCAACATCGATACACGTAACACCAACGTGAAAAAAAATGGTAAATGAAAAAATATTTATCAAAGCAAATGAAATCATATCATGCTGTTCAACAAAACACTTTTGAATTGCAACAACGTTATTATTGGATGGATGGACTTTATTATTAACAGAGAAGGAAAAATTTAAGTATACCTGGATTGATGGATGAACGGAAAACAATACCCTAAACTTGACATAATTAATTATTTGGAGGTTGTGTTGAGCAGTGATTACCTTTTTCTTGGAAAATCTTGAGAGGATTTCCTTCATTGCAAGGATGTGCTTAATTGTTTGACGAAGATTATGCTATAAGTTTGCACGGGTCTCATTGGCCCTCCTATCAAATATATACTATCAAAAGCGTGTATGATTAACAATAACTCTTTTCTTACGAAATAGCAGAAATGTTATCAAAGTTGATAAAATATACTAATATATATATATATATATATATATATATAAAGAAAGAGAGGCGAAAGTGCAGTGAATATTACATCGAATGCTAGAAAATGAGAAGAAATCAACTTCGCCAACTTGGCTCGGTCGGAATCATTTTTTAAGTTGACTAGTTTATTTATTGCCATTTAGCGACAGGGAGGAAAGGTGATTAGGTCTAGATAAAATAGGTGCAGAGTGATAGAACCAGTTCACTGGTTATCTAAAATAAATTCTCAAGGGATAATATTTTCTTAGGGTGAGAATGAACCACAATTTGGATGAAATAATTCTTATATTCATAATGATCTCCGAGACATCTTTTTATAGCCAATAACACTGCTTCTGCCGAATACTAGGACCCTATCAGCTACTAATAGTAATCATCAACACATGTTCTGCAGAAGGTGGAAAAAAATGCAACAGAAAGATTAAATACAAAGCTAGAGACTCTCCAACTGCTTTCTTTCGATCCATTCTTTCCCTTGCTTCATGCCTGCAACACAAAGTCTACACAAGGAGGAGATGAGAAGGAAAGAGGAGAAACAGAATGGAAAGCCCAGCTGGGCCATGCTAGCCCAACCGGAATCCAAAAAAAAGAAAAGGAAGGGAGGAGAACCGTAGAATGCAAATGAAGGGATAACTTAACTGTGTGTATATTGACCCAACCAAGCTAGGAAGAAGAGAGGAAATTTTTTAAACTCGAGATTAATGGAAAAAAATGTATAAATGGGACTCTCTTGTTTTTAATTCCAAATATGGCATTTATTTTGTTTCATTTTCTGTGTTTTGCAAATTTAAACTACTATTAATTAGAATAATATTCTATCGACGTTTTTTTGCATTGCATAGACTGAAATTCTGCAAGAAAAAAGAGAGAACCATAAGACATACTGCCGGAGCTGAGACCAAGAATTTTCAAAACAAAATAAAACTTTATAAACTCGTAAATTAATTGCCGTTGACGTCCTGCTGTGTATATGCCATGAATATAAATAATCGTATATATAATCAAACTAATCCCATAAGACAAATCACCTCATCTTTCTACGCGCTCTATATATATATATACACACACGCGTGCGCGCGCGCACACACGACAAGGACAGATTAACAAAACTTGAATTAATTCAAGTATTCAACTCCTGATCGGCCCCTCACGCAACATGATCACCGCTAAAAAAACGAGGAGTTCCAGATATTTTATTTGAAATGGTTTCATTTTCTGAGACAGATATTACTAATCACAGAGAAATAGTTCATTTTGTTTTGTTTGCTTTTATACAGTAATTCTCTAACTCTATTATCAATGGTTGGTTGGCGTTATAGTGATTGGTTTTCTTTTTTTAAGCTATTGTTTCTTCAGATTAATTCAATGAAGATTTTGCTTTAGAGTGTAAATCTGTAAAATTTGACCTGTATTTTTGCAGTTAGTTCGCTGTTGTTGGTGATCTTATTGGATAAGTATCTGCCTTTCGTCTAAAAAGAGGAAGCTGTGCGCATAGCTGAGCTGAGCTGCAAAAGTATTCACAAGAAGCAATACAATGGTAAGAGTTTGTTTGCAGCTGGTGAGCTGCAATGGTAAGAGTTTGTTTGCAGCTGGTGAACTGGAGACACACACACACACGGGTGTGTGTGTGTGTGTGTATCCTCGTTAATAATTTCTGCATATGCATGCTTGTTTCAATTACATGCTCTGAATTGCAGGAGGTTGATGAGCAAATAAGTAGACCTAACCATGTTCCTTACGAAAAGTACCGGGAACTTTTGGAAGAAACGAGTTCCCTAAAGATGCGGGCACTTCATAGAGAAGAGGAAATACAGACTCTCAAGGGCATGTTAGCTCAAAAGGACAAGGAAACGGTTCGCCTTAAAGACCAGCTGCTTCTAAGAGATACAACTATTAGTAAGCTAAGGGCTTTGGTTCAGTTTGCTTGGACAGAATTCGACAGTGCTAAGAAAAGAAATATAAATCCTGAAGCTTCTGCTATCGAGGAACAAGAAAAGGAGACTATACGGGAGATCAATGAGACAGCTTCAATTGTCAATGAAAATGGAATTACAAACCTAGATGGAAACACACCCACCTCCGCCCATGTTTCTTCCATTAAAGGGGAACCTCCTTCCCTTCTCTCAACATTCAATGGCCCTCAACCCCCTCCAGCAGAAGCGAAAATCCCTAGGGAAGCTCCTAACCCATTGACAAAAGAAGCAAAACCAGATGACAAACCCCTTGCCTCGGCACCTATATTCTACGGTGGACCTATTCTCTCTGTTTCCAACTCTAAAGGCCATTCACTCCCTCCAGCTCCACCACGTCCACCCCCTCCACCTTCACGTATGGAAGCAAACATCGTAGGAGCAACTCCGACCCCTGTTCGTGAATTTCATATCGCTCCATGTCCACCTCCTCCACGTCCATCACCTCCACCTCCACCTCCACCTATGGAAGCAAACATCTTAGGAGCAACTCCGACCCCTGTTCGTGTATTTAGTGTTGCTCCAGTCCTACGGATAGAAGCGAACATCACAGGAGCAACTCAAACCCCTGTTCGTAAACATCGTCCTAACAACACAGAAACAAACCCAAGCTCATCAACGATTAGAGTAGCCCATCAAGATGGAAAACCCCGTGTCTCAGCTCCCATACCTTCTGTTGTTAAACCTTAATTCTACCCTTGTTCTTTTAATAGACAGTAACAATTAGATAATCATGTCTAGTTTGGTGTCCATATCTTCCATTTGCTGCGAATGGAAAATGTAGTGGCTTTTGTAGGACAATGTGGGGATGCAATTTATGAAGGATTGTTTCGCCGGCTGCAGAGAAATTGTAATATTGAAGGGACTCTTTAGCAAAGAAAAGTGATCAATCCAGTGGCAACAGAAAAATTAATTGTCATGATTTTGGATGCTTTACAAGCTTGTTTGTGGGTTTTCTATTGAAATAAAGTGCTTTTGCGTTGTCCCTTGTCCCTATGACCCCAGTTTCAAATATACTAGATAAGTGGAGTAAACTCTTCGCACTTTGCAGGACGACGTAGTTTTTCTGATTCCATGAAGACTGCGGTAAGAAATAAGGACACTATTGCTCTGAGGAGTTTCAGTCATGAACTACATCAGCCAGAACACGGAAGATCCTGGATATCATGCACGAACTACACGGACAAGTGCAAAATAAGCTGTGAATGGAAAATGGGAACAGAGCTGCGTAGCAGTTGCATTCTGTGCGTAAAAAATTTCTCAACATATTAGCAAAGCTACAACAATGACTTTCTCAAGCATTTTCGGTTCAGTTTTTTCCCTAAAAAATAACCCACCTACAAATTTTTATTTTTAAATTAAAAACCAAAACTGGTTTAACCGATCAATTTCGCTCCTTTGGGTTAATTGAAGTAAAGAACCGGGAAAAACTGATTTTATCAAACTACTGAGTGTTGAATCCCCTGCTGCGAATCACTTCATTCTAATGCAGAAATAAATAAAACACTTGTAGAAAGGAAGAATGACCAGACTAGCAGAGTGGATGGCCATGGAAGATGAGCTTGATAGCTTCAATTTGATACATGACTTTAAACAAAGCGTTCCCATGAGATTGGCCTAACAGGAAATGGAGATATAGAAATTGAATTGAGCAAAATAAAGAAAGTTATAGCTTAGAAGATTGCTAGATAACTCTTTTTTTTTTCTGGTGACTTTGAACCTTAAAACTGGAGAAGACAAGAAAACATAGAAACCAGAGGAGGGATGCGAGAACTGAGACTGAGAGAAAACTTGAGGGAGGGGGGCAGCTGGGTTTGACCTGGCCTCTAGAGTTAAAAGAGAAGTTTATATTTATACTGTTTATTGTTTCAGTGGTGATAGAAGTTTCAGACTGTTAATATCAACACCGAACCAATTGTTTTATTTTTATTTTCTAATAGGTTAATTCAATTTGTTTTCTCAATTTAATTTTTTCAGTAAATTTTTTTATTTTCTTGATTTAATCTGTTTTTTTATTTTTATTTTTCCTCACCATCCTTTCCCTACATGAAAGCAAATGCATTTCTACAGCATTCCAGTTGCGCATCAAGTAATCTTACAATCAAAACAATCACACAAAATTACAAATGTCATCAATTTACACAGCTAACTAATATTTCCCAAGTATTCTGATCTTCCAAGCATGAACGACTATGAGCTTGAGTTCTAAATTAAAGATTTTCTCCTATGAACAAATTCCATCCCCTGCATTGAGTACGAACATCTGCAGCAGTTATCTCCCAAATGCTGAATGAATTTCTTCGCTATTCAGAAGTTTAACACCTTGAACCCCAATGGTTCTGTAACCCAAAATCTCCACGAAAAGAGCAATTACTGTTCTGACAATCAGTGAACCTGCATCGAAACCATTGTACACTAGAAAACCAGATGCCTAGAACAGAGCAATCAACCTCGTTGAGAATTTATTATCCAACGATCTTACAAACCGAAGATAATTCTTAAATTCTTTGCAGGGAACACAACCTCCGAGTAAGAATTACAGAGTTACTTTCTTTGAGCAGGGAAGCATGGTTCCCCTTTCCTAGACGCATCAAACACGAAATGGCTTGGCACTGTTGTTGTAGAGGATGGTTGAAATTTGATATTTTTGTTTATGGCAGTATGTGGCAGCGAGTCACTGCTTTAAAGTTTCATAAGGTGTTCACTGCGGAACTGCCTAAAAATGCAAATGCGAATCCAAATTATTCAATCTATGGTCTTATGCTATAAAAATGACATAATAAGGCCCTCACCCGCCCGCCCTTCAAGCAGTGAAAGTGGAGAACGGGATCCAAATTGATTGATTGAATCACATTCACAATCCTATGCAAATTTCAAATATAAAG